ACGTCATTCACGGTTCTCATCAGGTCTCGCATCGATTGCTCCAGCTCGTCCAGTCGTTCTCCGGCCTCTTCTTCCAGGATATGTTCCCGAGGTCGGTATCTCGGGGGTGGCTCATACTCTCCCTCGTGTGGAGGCACTGTAGCTCTCGCCTGGTCTCCGGCTCGGGCCCCTTCCCCCAGGGGTTCGAACATCCAGTCTTCGAGCTCTTGTCAGTATGGCCCCGAAGAGGTCGTCCTCTCCGGTTCAGGATATAGTCCTTTATCAAACAGCCTCTCTCGAAGTCCGCTTCCTCGGCGGGAGTAAATCTCCCTGGTGCCCTTCGTATTATACAAAGTCCAGTCATCCTGCGCCGGCGTCCTCTGTGGCCCACAGTGCGAAGGGTTTGGAGGTGGCCAGGACAAATACGAAGGCAAACGGGGAATCGCTCCCCCCACCGCACCCGATGTCGGCACCGTAGTCATGGTGATCAACGGCGTGGAGGTTGTTGGGACCGATCCCGTGTCCCCCTCCGTAGTAGGCAGTTTTCCCTCTGTCCCGCTCATGACTTCGTCAGACTCGGGACGATAGGAAAATAATGGGATTCCTAACAATATGTTGGATCCCCAAGCATCGAGAATAAATCCACGTTTCAAAAAAGCAAAATTTATTTCAAAGCTTTGGAAAGATACTCAAACAAGTCCTTTGTTAGGAATGGGTACAAACAGACAGGGCAGATATAATAAAGGGATTTGAACCAGGTACCGAACCAATGGATCACTTTCCCACTGGCGGGCAAAGGAAACGGTTGCGCGCTCAATCCCTGGGAACACTGCTATCTCCAGACATAACACAGGTGCAGTTCCCAGGCTCTAAAAGCAACAAGCTAGCATTCAAGCTCACCTCCTACACCACGACCTCCAGATGTTTGGCTTAAGCGTTACAGCAGAGTAAAGTACAAGCTAGCAAGCAGAGGGGGGGGAATGAACTGTACAGCCGCACAGTTAACACAGAACACAATGGCAGCTTGCTGACAGTTAGAGATTAACAGGCTTCTGAAAGTCACAAGACTGAAAAGTCATTTTATATCAGTATTTCTTTTAAACGGAATAC